AAGCATGCCACTTGTGTCTGGTTTTACTCTTCGATTTTTCGAATTTAGTATCGCGGTCGCGGTCGCGGATAGGTTCTTGTTTCCGGTTTTACTCATCGATTTTTCGAATTTAGTATCGCGGTCGCGGTCGCGGATAGGTCGCGATCGCGAGTAGGTCCCGAAACGGACGTTCACGTAGGTGTTGCTCGAGCATGCACGTACGAACGAACAACGATCACTATGATCGATGGTCGTCCATGTGTATAGGGGTGAGCTTCCGCGGTTTATTTTTTCATTTTTATAAGTTATTTTTTAGTTTGCGATTAGAAAGACTCGAGCTAGATGTAAGTTTCAGCGGGCATTGCGCTCGAAGGAAGAAGAGGCTAAAAGCCGAAGAGGCCCGGCAAACTGCCACGAAGAGGGGCACAACAAATGGCTTCTCATCCTCTGGATCATTTAAATGATTTTAGAGCATGAGAAGCCATTCTCGTTACTGCTCTGTCACTATGCTCTTTTAGTATTTGTAGTAGTATTTTTTTTTTTTTCTACTCCATCATCGTTCAACTTCGTTCTGGGCAATTTGCGGTTTTTCTTGTTAGTGTTGCGAGAAATTGATTACGGTTTAAATTGGAGTCGTGTTTAGTTTAGAGTTGCGAATTACGATACCGCGGTTGTCTTCAGCAATTTTGATTGTGAATTTTTGAAGTTATTTTAGAGTTGTACATAGAGTAAAATTTATCTTGTTTTCTGTTGTTTTAAATTAGATTACAAAGTCACTGCTTTTAATTAATTTTAGAGTGTTAGAATATTTGAAGTAGCTTTTTGTACAGTAGTTTTTATATTGTTATATTGTTTTCGTTCAATTTGATATTAGAGTTAGTGCTGCGACATTATCTCATCGCGATTACTTTTTCAATTGTTAGAGCTAGTGTTGCGATAATGAATGATCGCGTTTCATGAAATAGCGTTGCGTTTACAAAATGCCCAAATTCTTCCACTGTTCCTGCTTCTGGATCACCTGATGCAGCTACAAGAGCTGTACAGAAGTGGTCATTCATCAACAATTTCCTGCAGAGTTGCACTGGACGCGTCGCAATTACTGTTGCGCATTTTTAAACATGAGTGCATAGATCAATAACGTTGCTTATTTATTTTCGTGAGTTTTAAACATGACGAAGCACTCTTCGCGTTTGATTTTGAAAATTTCCTATTTCACAATTAACGCTAGTGAATTAGTGTTGCGAAGCAAGTTACAGTTTGTTGCTCGGGTTTGTAACGTAGATAATTATACAGTACCTTCTGGTTATTGTATTATTGAGAAGGACATGCTTGTTTTTTGATAGTCTTTCTGGCTAGTGTATCGCGGTTTCCTTTTCAATAGTCTAGCCCTTCTGGCTATTCATTTGCTTTTTTCCTTCAAATGTCGGGACTGTTTTAGTGGTATGGAATTTTTGTGTTAAATTTTCTAAACTACTAATACAACAAATAAGTTTGTTACAGATTTATCAGCTTCCAAATGGATGAATAAAAAATGGAATAACATGGACTGTGGAATTTAAAGGGAACAATGCCTGGATCCTGTCTAATGGTAATTAAATACATATTATTAAATTTATTTCACAAATCTTTTTGACATCAACAAAAGAAGATTGCACTAATTCTAGTTTTAGTATTTGTAATATATATTTTTTTTCTTCTCTATCATCGTTCATTATCGTTTTGGGCAAATCGCGGTTTCTCTTATTGGCGCGAAAGATCGATTACGGATTGAATTGGAATTGTGAGATTGTTTCTTGCCTGTGTTAATAAACAATGTTGCGAGAAATTGATTACGATTTAAAGTAGAGCTGCGAAGAAATGACAGTTGTGCTTGCTTTAGTGTTTCGAATTATGAAAATGTGATATTCAATGTGGTATTGAAATTTATATAAATGAATTGTGTATGTGATATTGAAAATGCGATAACACTATAATGGATTTCAAAAATCATATTTCTGGCTCACTCACTGTTTGATCAACTTTGATTGTTTTACTTGATGTAGTTCCCCAATTCACCGTATTTAAGCGTAGAGTGCGCTGGAAACCCAATGATTTTTTACTATGTCGGTATTTCAGAGCATGGGACGCGAAATCCCATAAGATGCTTGGTCTATTCATATATGTCATCTCGTCTGTGACTAATCCTAAATTATGTCATGTGGTAATCAACCAATCAATTAAAACAGGCTACTTACTAATTAAGCAACGAAACCACATGTACAAAATAATAAACCTTGCATTCTGTTGCGTTCACTTTTTTGCTAACTTTACGAAGAATCTTAATTTCGTGCGCGTTGGCAGCCATCAAAATCCTCGTAAATTTAAATGAATTTACATAATTCAAAGTGATTCATTGTTTAATGAATATTACATTACATTTGTTGGTCGTATTCGTATATCGAAATGACCATTGTTAAATTTGTGATCTCATACAGCATTGTCTGAAACGTTAAGTGAGCTTGAGCTTTTTGTGTGTGGTAAGCAATAGGTACAGTGATTTCTCTGTTAATTTATTAATTATTCGTAACTGAGCGATAAATTTAATAATTATATATATTCTTTGGAATTCATACTTTCTTAAAATGTTAGTCATCGTAGAAATCACTATCCTTGGCGAAAAGTTTTTGATTAAATCCAAGTTCTTGAATATATTTAATAAACATTGAAATTCGTATAAAAAAAGAATTCAATTAAAATCACTATTTTTTACCTAATTCAAAAGATTTTAATATTTTCAAATACTTGTAAATACTTGCGTTTGATCGAAAATTTTTTTTGTCATTGTGTTGCAACAGCTGGAACTCCGGAGTCACCAATTGCAAGTAAATTTAAATTCTGTCATTGCGAGTCGTCAGTATCATTTGTCTCGTACAAATTGTTTAAACTGTCACATCGATTGAAAATCTCCGTACGAGCAATTTTACACACCAACAGATGTCACTGGTTTAGAAAGAAGTCACAAAACCATGTTGCAAGTGACTTTCACCAGCGCCGACCAATCGCGGTCGTCGTTCTGGACTTTCTTCTACGTGAAACGTGTTCCTCCTCTCCAACAACTTAAAGACATTCGACATCTACATGGCATACAAAATCACTTAGAAATATTTCGAAATGTTACTTTTTTTTTTTTTCAATCCGAAAATTGGTCCACTGTGACGTTAGAGAATTTCCGCGGAGTGTTCAACGATAATCTGAACTTTTCGAAAAAAAAAAAA